CTAGCCCGCGTTCTGTGCGTCTCTGTCGTCCGCGAAGGGGCAGGGCCCGAGCGGCTGGCGAGAACGGGGTGGGGCCAGCCAGAGCCCGGCTCCTCCCCCGCCCCATCGCCGCCTCCTCCCCTCCCCCCGACTCGCCCCTGAGGAGGGGTGGGTGGGTGGGGACTCCGGGCCGGTGGCGGAGTCACTGTCGCCTGGGCCGGGCTGCGGAGCGGACGGACGCGCCTGGTGCCCCGGGAAGGGGCGCCACCGGGCAGGAGGAGGACAGAGGAAGAGACGGCTTCTCTGCCCCGGCCATCTCGAGGCTCTGACCCCAGGACCAGGGGACTGACAAGTGCCTCGCCTCGGCTGCCCGAAGAGGCGGCGACCCTGGAGGGCCCCGAGCTCAGCGCACCAGGGGCCCCAGCACCACCCCGGTGGCCACAGCGACAGCCCCAGGGACCACGACCAGTTTTCTAGTTGCCTAGACAACGAGCCTGGGGTCAGAGCAGCCTCCACCAGCCTCGCCAGCTGCCTCAGGCCCCCCCCGCCAGCCCAGTGCGTCCAGCCCAGGTGACATGCCGGTGCTCTCCACCCCCCGGGCCTCTCGCGTGACCACACTGAAGCGCACAGCAGTGGTCCTGGCCCTCACAGCCTATGGAGCCCACAAAATCTACCCCCTGGTACGACAGTGCCTGGCTCCAGCGAGGGGCCCTCGGGTGGCCGGGACCGCGGGGGTGTCCACACAGGAGGCCTCCGAGCCCTCTGCTGCTGCCACCACTGCCAAGGCGGGTGTGAACCGGGTGTTCTTGCAGCGACTCTTGTGGCTCCTGCGGCTGCTCTTCCCCAGGATCCTGTGCCGGGAGACGGGGCTGCTGGCGCTGCACTCAGCAGCACTGGTGAGCCGGACTTTCTTGTCGGTGTATGTGGCCCGCCTGGACGGCCGGCTGGCACGCTGCATTGTGCGCAAGGACCCAGGGGCCTTCAGCTGGCAGCTCCTGCAGTGGCTCCTCATCGCACTCCCTGCCACCTTCATCAACAGTGCCATCCGCTACTTGGAGGGCCAGCTGGCCCTGTCCTTCCGCAGCCGTCTAGTGGCCCACGCCTACGGCCTCTACTTCTCCCAGCAGACCTACTACCGAGTCAGCAACATGGACGGGCGCCTTCGCAACCCTGACCAGTCCCTGACCGAGGACATGGTGACCTTTGCCGCGTCCGTGGCCCACCTCTACTCCAACCTGACCAAGCCGCTCCTGGACGTGGCCGTGACTGCGTACACCTTGGTTCGGGCGGCCCGCTCCCGCGGGGCCGGCACAGCTTGGCCCTCGGCCATCGCTGGCCTCGTGGTGTTCCTCACAGCCAACGTGCTGCGAGCCTTCTCGCCCAAGTTTGGGGAGCTGGTGGCAGAGGAGGCGCGGAGGAAGGGGGAGCTGCGCTACATGCACTCTCGCGTGGTGGCCAACTCGGAGGAGATCGCCTTCTATGGGGGCCATGAGGTGGGGCAGGTTGTGGTACTGGGCCTTGATGAGGTGTGGGGCTGGGAGGCTGTGACCGGCAGGGAATCCCAGTGCCAGAGGGTGCGCAGGTCACGGGAGAGCGGGCCGGGGGTGGCCAGGGCCTGGGGTGGCTGGGACTTGGGCACACAAATGGAGAAGCAGGAAGGCTGGGCGGGGACAGTCCTGGGCCAGTGGCCTGCTTGCTCCAGGCCACTTTTGCTAACTCTCCTCCTCCACAAGGAGCTGGCCCCGCCTCAGAGCTGTGGACCCTAGCGGCTGGAGGCTACCAGCCCACCCTCTCGCCACAGCCAGCAGGGAGGGCTCCTGCCACCTGGGAGCAGGGCAGTGGGACATGGCCTGCTGCCCAGCCCCTGCAAGGCCCCCTCCGGGCCCTTTGAAGGTCGGCGTCCAGCCCAGCTGGTCGGCTGGGCAGGCGGGCATTATGGGCATGACTCAGCCCAAGCAGAGGTTAACGAGCAGTGCCCAGGGAGGCAGCGGCAGCAGCAACAGCAGCTGCAGCAGCTGCAGAGCTGGGGGGTCAAGGCCTCGCAGCCTGAGCCCTCAGGCTCACCTGACTGCCGGCTTAGCCGCAGCCCTGAAGCAGGCTTGGGCGGCCACCTGGGTGGACACACTTCCTGGCCACCCTGCGCCCGTGTGGCCGCCCTTCCGCCTGGGCCCCAGGCGTGCAGCTCCCGGTGGGCCTTGGCCAGCCTGTGCTGGGAAAAGGTCACTGCGGGCCAGTGCTCCCTTTATCTGCCTCAGCCCCTCCCCTTCCTTGTGCCTGGGGTTGAGGCTGCCTAGGGCCCTGCTCTGGGCGGTGACTTTGGTTTCGGTTCCGGAGTCCGGGTGGGGGAGGGGCGCAACAGCATCCATCTCCTGAAGCCTGTGTGTCTCCCTGGGTCAGGTGGCCCCAGGCCTGGGACCCTGTGTTGCTGGCTGCACTGGGCAGAGAAGTTGAAAGGCTTGTCCCTGAGCTCCAAGCGGGCACCCTGTCAGTAGCTGCAGCCCCCTCCTTGCCTCTCTGCACGCTGGGCCACAGGGCCTGGGCAAGCCTCTGTGGCCTTGGCTGAGGTGCTTGGCACGTTACCTGCAGCTACACTGTCTGCGCCGGCTGGCACTGCTTCCAGCTCCCAGCATGAGTTGGGACAGTGAGAGTGCTCTGAGCAGGTGTGTTAGCTGGGAGATAGGGCGTGGGCCGCACCGCAGGGAGGAGGCTGGTGGCTCTCCCTTGGGACCACTTTCAGGTACTCACCCGCACAGGGAGGAAGGCCCATGCGGGCGAGGTCAGAGGGCTACAAAGCACTGTGGCCCCGCCCTCGGCGGCGGGCCCAGCAAAGGCAGTCCCTGACTGCTGCCCCTGTGCACAGTGACCCCGGGTCAGATCAACTGGTTGGGGCAGAGTGACTGACCCGCAGGAGAGTAAGTAGGAATTTCTACAGGCTCATTCAGATGTGTGCGCGTGCCTGCATGCACGTATAGACGCACACACTTGCGCGTGCAAGTAAACCTTTCTTAATAAGTTGCAGCATCACTGAGCAGAATCTGCTTCTCCTTGTGGCCTGCCAGTCACTCCACGTTCCACCCCTTCGCTCCCTCCGTGCTATGTGAGCTCGGCAGGAGCTAGCAACCGACAGGCAGATGGGGACTTGAGCATGAAAGGGAACCTTCCAGGCCCGGCGACTGCTCAGTCAGCAGGCAGGCAGGACACACTCCCGTACCGAGCTGGGAACTCTGCCCCCATCTGCTGCCGCCGCTGCTGCTGCTGCTGTTGCTGCCGCCGCCACCGCCGCCACCACCTCTCCGCCAGGTCGTGCGCAGGCCCCCTCGCCACCTGTCCCCGTCCTGAGAGGGCAGACGTGGCCAGTGCAGGGAGGGGACAGGAGGGGAACCTGCTGCCAGAGCACAGGCAGAGTCGTCATGGCCTGAGGTGGGCTGTCCACTAGGGGCGCACCCGCTGGGTGCTGCCAGACAACGCTGCAGCCTTCTCGCAGCAGGCAGGGAGGCGGGCCTCAGTGGGTGGACACTCTGGAGCCAAATTCCACCAAGGCAAGAACTGGCCTTTTGGCTCCTGGCCGCTGCTCGCTGGCTCAGGGTGGGCCCGCGCTCTCGCCTCAGCTATTTAGCCTGCAGCCGCCGTCTGCTGCACCAGACACGGGCACGGTGACGGTCCCACCTGGAGGGCCTGGAACGAGGACAGGAGGAGGCCCAGAAGCGGAGGGGCAGGTCCCGCCTTCACTGTCACTGTCCCCCTGTTCGAGGCATCAGGGCCATTGCAGACTTTCCCCCAGACTGAGAGTGGCACTCTAAGCGAGGCTGGACCGCGGCGCCCTGCTCTCGCCTGTGTTTTGCTGAAGGGAAGGCCCGGGGTGGGGCGCGGGCCTCAGCCATGTCACCCGGCAGGTGGAGCTGGCCCTGCTGCGGCGCTGCTACCGCGACCTGGCTTCCCAGATGAACGTCATCCTGCTGCAGCGCCTGTGGTACGTGATGCTGGAGCAGTTCCTCATGAAGTATGTGTGGAGCGCTGCGGGCCTGCTCATGGTGGCCGTGCCCATCATCACGGCCGCTGGCTACTCAGACGCAGGTGAGAGCCAGCCCCTTGGGGGCGGGCGGGGGCGGCTCGGGACTGGCCCAGCCCCTGCTGCTGAGGACACAACCGGAGTCGCCCCTTCCTGCAGCGTCTCGCTGCCTTCCCGTCCGAGTGCATCACCCCACGCTCCCAGGTCCCCCTCTGCTGACCCCAGCACACCACTCCGCCTCCGCCGCGCCTCGGGCCTGTCCCCAGGGCAGGCCGGGTGGCCATCTGTCCCTATCCCTGCCGGACTGTGAGTTGGTGGACCCCGAGACTGGGCCTGGGCTTCGCCACCCCCTGAACAGCCCCAGGGCAGGGCAGCCCTAGGGAAAGTCCCTTTGCACTGCACTGTGGCTGTCGGGGTCGTGGGCCAGTTGACCCTGTGTGGACTGAGCCCTCCCCTCGCTGCACCTTGCACCGCCCAGTCACCTCCAGAGAGACAGCTCTGCCGTCCTCTCTCCAAGGCGCTCGCGGAGCATCTTGACTGCGGCGCCTGAGACCTGTCTTGCGTCGTCCGTACTCCTGAGGACTCGCCCTGGGTGGGGGAGCGGACCTGGCCGCCTCCCTGCCTGCCGGGCCGCTCTTCAGTCCACTGTCTGCTGGGAAACAGCCAGGCCCAGCCCGGACCTGGCGCCGGCCGCTCGCTGGCACTGTGCTTGCCTCTCCGTGGCCATTTTACCTGTGGGTTTCTGTTTGCCTGGCTTGAGACTGGTTGGCTCAAGTCTTTGACTACTCAGAAGTTTCCACCTTTCTGGAAATTTCAAATATTGCCCGACTCTCCGTTGCCTCTGTCCTGCGGCAACGTGTCGCGTCGTGGGGACTGCCCCTCTCGCTCTCCCTCCCTCCCCCGCCCGCCTGCTCCTCCTGCCCGCACCCATCCCCTGGGTTTGCTCGGCTGCCTCGAAGGACTCTGGCTTTCCTGGTGACTTTCTGTGAGTCCTATGTGATTCTTTCAAGGAGAGGTTAGAAGATCGAAGTTTCCTCGCGCAACTGGAAGGTGCAGACTTCGTGCGTGTCAGGTGCCCGCGCCGCGCCGCGCCTCTAGCTGGTGGCGCAGCCGTCGGCTTCCTCTGCCATCGTCGGCCTTGCCGCATGCTGGGTGGCAGCCCCAGTGCCCAGCCGAGCATGGTGCTTGGGCACACTTGCTCGCTTTGCGCCAAGCAGCCCCGTGGGCATGAGCCAGTCAGAGGCCATTTCCACGTTCACCTTGGGGCTTCCTGAGCTCCCGGTGGCGCCGCTTGTGCCCGCACTGTACGGCCTAGGACCCCCCTTTTGTCCAGGGCGCCCCGAGCCCCAGCTGGCCCCCAGAGCTTCCCTGTCTCGCCCCGCCAGGGGCGGGGCGGCGCACGTGTGCTGGCCCCTGTGGCTCCCGGGGCTCCCTGCACTCCCTGAAACAGCTCTGCCCTGGAAGGTGCTGGAGTTTCTGTGCTTCAGTAGTAGGGTCCTGTGCTGTCTCCAGCGGCCCGACTCTTTCAGACCCAGAGCGCCTGCTTCTCTCCTACCAGCAGTTCCTGCTCTCGTGAGCCCCGGCATGAGGGTCTAGTTGGAGGGGCATTTGCTCCCCAGCGAGGGCCTCCCCCCCGGCGGCCTTGATGTCGGTGCAGACACCGGGCCTCCGGCGCCTGGTCCACTTCCCCACTGGCACTGGGCACAGCCTGACCTGTCCAGGCCCCAAGAGCGCCCCTCCTCTGAGGGCCTAGGGCGTTTGGGGCCTCTGCCATACCTGGCCTTGCGCCTCCTGCCCCGGTCGGCGCCTCAGGGTCAGTTGCCAGGGGTAAGGTCCCCCCCGCCTTGGCCCGCTTCTACCTTGCCGGCCTGCTCCTTCCTACCACAAGCCCCGGCCCCTGCCCCGGAGCCTCAGCGCTCGCCGTCCACGGCTCTGCCTCGGCTAGCGGAGTGGCGCCCGCCTCCGGGAGCCAGGCCTTCATCCCTAGCGGCTTTGCCCTCTGTCCTGCTGCTCCACACCGAGCCACAGGGCAGAGGCTTCCGGAAGACCCCACACCTGCCTTCTGCCTGCTGGCGCTGCAGTGGCAGGGCCCAGGCTGCCACGCCTTGCTCTCAGGGCGGTCGGGCGGCCCCTCAGGCCCCTGGCTCGGCTGCCCGGCCTGCAAGGGAACCTGCAGCATCACCAGCTGTCGGCAGGACACCCGAGCACCCGTGTGCGCCGTTCTGCTCCTTCTGCCTGCTGGGGCGTGTCCCCAAGGCCATGTTGGGCCTTTAGACTGTCGGGTGAATGCCACCCCTGCCGTGTTCATTTCCCTGGATTCCTAGGCCAGGCCCTGGAGGTGCAGCCAGGTGCCCTGGAGGCCGTGTGCCCCAGCCTCTGCCACCCCGACACCCCACGGGGGGCGGGTGACATCTGCCTTCACAGAACCTTCCTTTCCACCAGGGCGGCCCAGCTAGAGGAGGGGTCGGCACTGTGCGGGGAGGTGAGCGGAAGCAGCGTGGTGGTGGGGTTTTGCCAGTGGGTATTTCTGTTTGAGAGGCTCGAGGGTGACAGTCCCGGGTCGGTGTCCAGGGCAGGCTGAGTGGCCAGGCTGCGCGGGTTGCTGGCAGGGAGAGTCAGGAGCCTGCTGGCTTCCGCCTGCTTCCGAGCCGCGGAGACGTCATTAGCACTCGGGCAACACAGTCTTTAAAGACGGCGTTTCACAGTCCGCGTCTTGCGTACGTCACCGCCTCAGAAGGAGTCCCCGTGCTGCCGCATCACCCCAGCCCTGGCGGCTCTTCTGCCTCCTGCAGGCGCCTCCCACACGGGCACAGCTTCTCACTCCTTGGGGTGCCCCAGGGCTCGTGCCCATCGGTGGCTGAGCAGTGTGCCCTGCCCAGAGCCACGAGTCTCCTCCCCAGGGCCGCTGTGCCCTCTTCTGCCCCCAGCAGCGTGGAGTTTCCAGTGTCCCCCCTTCTTCACGACACGTGCTATTGTCATCTCTCCTGAATTCCAACCCTCGGCCCTGCTGCGCCCTGCTGCGCCCTGCTGGCAGCCCCGAGGACCAGGGCCACAGCGTGTTCTGTCCAGTGCTCTGGCACTTCCTGACAGCTGCGACCTTTGCCTGTTGCTGAGTTCAGCCCTGTCGCTCTGCTGTGGACCACAGTTGAATTGTCCGCAGGAGAGCCTCGCTGGCGGGTGGCCTGTGTGAGCTCTTCCCGGGCCTGGCGTCCTGTCCATTCTCTCGACTGTGGCCTCGGACCCTGGCGCCTCCCACCCCCGCGGGTGCCAGGGCCCGCTGTCCGGTGCGCAGCGTGCCACCACCCACACCCCTCCGCCAGCTCTGTCGCCGCAGCACTCATGCGTGCGACCCTGCGGGCTCAGCAGACTGACCGCCCGCTGGCTGGCTCGGTGCTCACTTTCCACCCCTGCCCCTCCACTGCGCCGCCCGCAGACTCGGAGAGGAGGGGAGAGGAGCTGGTGAGCGAGCGCACAGAAGCCTTCACCATCGCCCGCAACCTCCTCACTGCCGCTGCGGACGCCATCGAGCGGGTCATGTCGTCCTACAAGGAGGTAGCTGTGCCCGCCCCCCGGCCCGCGCGCCGTCCACCCCACGGGCTGGGCCTGAGCAGCGCGCCTCCCGCAGGTGACGGAGCTGGCTGGCTACACGGCCCGGGTGCACGAGATGTTCCAGGTGTTCGAGGACGTCCGCCACTGCCGCTTCAAGAGGCCGGGGGAGCCGGAGGATGCGCAGGCGCGGGCCAGGGCCTTGGTGCGGCCAGGGGTCCGCGTGGAGGGACCTCTGCAGATCCGAGGTAAGGGCGCAGCTGCTGCGCCCCAGCCCCACCTCAGGCACCTCCCGTCCCTCCGGAGAGTCGGGTCTCAAGCGGTGCCACCACCCTCCCCATGCCCCCGCTCCCCTGTGCCAAGGCCTGAACTTCTCTTTGGAAAAGAGGGGGGTCACTTGCCACGCAAGACAGTGAAAGAAAGTTCAAAACCACAGTGGCGGCCCGCGCAGATGGCTGCAAGGCAGGGTGCCCCCCCCCCGGCATTGGGTGCCGAAGGCCAGAGCTTTAGCCTAAGCCCTCCCAGAGCACAGTGCCCTCCAGGCCCAGGGACCCCGGATCACTCAGCAGCATGGTGTTGGAGTGTGGGGGGGCGCCAGGAAGGGCACAGGGATGACCACACGGGACCCAACACAAGGCAGAGCGCCCCAGCCCCCCACCACGTCTCTCTGCAGGCCAGGTGGTGGATGTGGAGCAGGGGATTGTCTGTGAGAACATCCCCATCATCACGCCCGCCGGAGAGGTGGTGGTGGCCAGCCTCAACATCAAGGTGAGTGCGGAGTGTGAATGGGACAGAGGCAGGCGGGCCTCTCGCTAACGCTCAGCCCTTGGCATCGGCCAGGGCCCCGCAGCAGCTGGGCAGGGCTGCCGAGACCAGCCCTCCCCCGGGCCTCGGCCCCTCCCCTCGAGAAGGGGCGTGGCCCACGCACACCATGGACGCGGGGGTGCCAGGCGGATGCAGGGAGCAGACCCGCTGCGCCCCACGCCCTGCAGGTGGAGGAGGGCACGCACCTGCTCATCACCGGCCCCAACGGCTGCGGCAAGAGCTCCCTCTTCCGGATCCTGGGGGGGCTCTGGCCCACCTACGGTGGGGTGCTCTACAAGCCACCACCCCAGCGGATGTTTTACATCCCTCAGAGGTGAGCCCCAGCTAGCCACCGCGCGGCCCGACGCCAGGTAAAGCTCAGAGCCTGAGGGGTGCGCAGGCTCGGGTGCCCACGTGTGCCCACAGGTGGGGGCACGTGGGGTGCAGGGACACGGCACGTGGGGCACGGGACGCATGATGGCATGCATGCATGGGCGTGGGCTGGGGGCAGATGCGTGCGATGGGGTGAGCGTGGCCCAGAACCACAGGGAGCCTGTGGCAGAGCGTCAGGACGTGGGTCGGCCTTCCTCACTGGACACATGACCCGCCCGCAGGCCCTACATGTCCGTGGGCTCCCTGCGCGACCAGGTCATCTACCCGGACTCGGTGCAGGACATGCGGCGCAAGGGCTACTCCGAGCAGCACCTGGAGGCCATTCTGGACACGGTGCACCTGCTGCACATCCTGCAGCGGGAGGGAGGTAGGCGAGCGGCACCCTCGGCGCGCTCCTTGGCAGGCAGCCTGCACCTGCCTGGCCCAGGGGCTGTGGATGACCCCAGTCTCCCGGAACCCAAAGTGCTGGGTGCCTGGGCCAGTCGCGCCTGCAAGAGGCCTGGCCTCAGCACACGCCCTGTGCTGGGTCAGCGCACCGGGGGTGGGGCGCAGCAGGGACAGGCGGAGAGGGCACCACCCTGTGTGGGCTCCGCAGCAGGGGCGGTGAGGGTCCAACCCTTGGAGGATCCAGTGGGCCAGGCAGGGAGCCACGGCTTTCCCTAGTGAGGCAGGGGCTTTGGCAGACTTTGGAGGGTGGGAAGTGAGTTCCGCATTTCAGGAAGAGACAAGCCAAGGGCCGCAGGGCAGCCAGAGGCGGGGTGAGGACAGAGGCCATGCGGAGGGCGGGCACACCCAGGTTTCTGATGGGAACCTGAGTGAGAGGCCTCCCGGGCTGGACTGTGGCAGGCGGGGGCCTGTGCCCGGCCTTGTCGAGGTAGGTGGCAAATGCCCACAGGACCTGGAGGAGCGCGGGGGTCTGGCTCCGGTTTTAGCAGTGACATCTGGGAGACAGGGCTACCGTGCTAGGCAGCTGGCCCGGAGCTCAGACCTTGCACTTGAGAGCGTGGGCAGCCACGTAACCAGCAGAAGCACCCAGGCCTTTGGGGACGGAGGGTGCGGTGGGAGGCTGCCAGCAACAGGCCTGTTGCGCTGACTGAGACGCCACCCTGGGGCTGGGCAGAGCCATCTGGTGCCCAGTGGCAGTGCTGTCGGGTGGTGGCGTGGTGCCCACTGGGCTGCGGGCACATGCTGGCCGGGGCAGCCCCACACCGGGGAATGGGGCAGGCTGTCGCCCGCTTCTGGGGCCAGGACTCTGCGTTTCGGCGTGGGCAGGGCGGGTTCCTCGCGAGCAGGAGGCAGCCCGGCCCAGCTGCGGGCTCAGGGGTGCCTGCGTCTGGCCCGAGTCCGCACGTCGTCTCCCCTCGGCGCGTGTGCGCCGGGACCCGCTTTGTTTCTGGCCAGGCCCCTCTGACCTCGTCCGGGTGGATGAGCCCGGCACACACCCGGTCTCCAGAGGCCCACGTGTCTCGTTTTCATTAGCATTAAAGTGCTGCCCACAGGCGGGCATCCCGGCACCCTCACTGCCTGCCCAGCCCTCTGCTGCTGTCTCCCGGCCCTCGTTGAGTTAAACAGTGCGCTTACCCTCTGCCCAGGCTGGGAGGCTGTGTGCGACTGGAAAGATGTCTTGTCGGGGGGTGAGAAGCAGAGAATCGGAATGGCCCGCATGTTCTACCACAGGTGAGTGACGTGCCCAAGGTGCTGCCACCTGGGCCAGAAGCAGAGAGCGTGGGGCACAGTGGGAAGGCAGGCGGGCCACCTGGGTAAGGGGCACCACAGCACCAGGAGGCCTGGCCCCGTCCAACCCACCGGCGGAGCTGGGCGCCTAGGAGGCTAATCACCCAGATCAGGCAGGCTCAAAGCTGCGCCCGGGCCGGGCCTCCGCCTCAGGGCTCCTCAGCCTTGCCCCATGGCCCTCCCCTCAGGCCCAAGTACGCCCTCCTGGACGAGTGCACCAGTGCAGTCAGCATCGACGTGGAGGGCAAGATCTTCCAGGCTGCCAAGGATGCAGGCATCGCCCTGCTCTCCATCACCCACCGGCCCTCGCTGTGGTAGGCGCCCCGCTCCCCGCTGGGATGGAAGCGCGGAGACCCTGCTAGGGCTAGGGAGACCCTGCTCAGAGGCCTGCCTGTCTGCCCCCGCCCCCCGGCCAGGAAGTACCACACACACTTGCTGCAGTTCGACGGGGAGGGCGGCTGGAAGTTTGAGAAGCTGGACTCGGCAGCCCGCTTGAGCCTGACTGAGGAGAAGCAGCGTCTTGAGCAGCAGCTGGCCGGCATTCCCAAGATGCAGCAGCGCCTGCAGGAGCTTTGCCACATCCTGGGCCGAGGCCCTGCCGCCCTCCAGGACGCCACCACTTGACCGAGCCTTGCCTGCGCCCCGCCCCAGCCCTCAGATCACATGAAGGAAACCACCCCACCCTGCAGCCCTGCTCCAGGCCCACCCCGCATGCCCGTCGTGCCTTCTAGGCCTTCCTGCCCCAGGCCGAGCTGCCAGGACAACCCCATGGCAGCCGCGCACTGCCCGTGCTCAGCCTTGGGCTAGCACACGTGGGAGGCCCGCCCGAGGGCCAGCCCTTCTCACCCCGCCCCTGCCGCCCCCACCCCCACCCCCACCCCCGGCAGAGCTGTGACCTGGGCAGGGTAACTGAGTCCTTTATTTTCTTGGTGGTAGGTGGGAGAGGGGCTCAGGTGGCCCCAATCCTGACCCCACACCAGAGCCATTGAGCGGCGGGGGTCGAGCCCCCACACCGCCAGCCAGTCTGTGCCGAGCCTCGCATCTGTGGGGCTCCTCCTGTGACCAAGTCCCCGGTCCTGCCTCTTCAGACCCTCGGAGACCCCGCCCCTCCCTCCAGGGCCACACGGCAGGCATAGAAGCAGCCACTTGGCCAGGGTGCAGTCCCACCCTCTCCTGCAGGCATCCCGAGAGCCCTCGGAGAAAGCTGCGCTAGGCTTACCAGGAGCCAGGAAAGGAGGAGCCCTGCCGCAGGCTAATTGATGGCATTCCTGTGTGTGACGGTCGCCCTCGCCAGCCAGGGAGCCGTCCCCGCCCCGTCCTCCCGTGGGTGGCCCAGCCTGTCACCCTACCAGCCTACACTGCCAGCTGCCACCAGCGCCCGGCCGGCCGAAGGGAGATGGGTGCTGGCACTGCCAGCTCAGTGCCAAAGAGGGGTCAGCCAGGGAGGCGCCTCTGCCCAGCCAGCCCCTGCCCGGGAGGGAGACCCCGCTGCCGCCGTGTGCCTTTCTGGGCCCTCCGCCCTCGGCTGGGAGCCACCCTCAGTCCTCTCAGTAAAGATGTCGCAGAAACTGCAGCCTACTCCGGCCTCTTGGTCTTCGATGGGAAGGGCGGCAGGTGGGAGTGGGCAAGGAGCCGGCCTCGCTCCAAGACCTGGGGTAATCTCTACCCCTGCACACCCAGAGTGCGGATGGGAGCATCGCCCCCTGCCAGTGGGGAGGGGAGTTCAGCCACCCCATTTCGCAAAAGCACCCATGGTGCCTGAAGTGCTTGGGTGCGCGGGAGGGGCCTGTGCCCAGTCCTTGTGGCAGTGGCTGGACAGCAGGGAAGGACACTAAGCCACAGAGCGGGTGGGGGCAGCGAGGAGGGCAGGGGCTGCCTTGGCCCCGCCAGGTGCCAGGCCCGCAGGAAAGGGGCAGTGCACGGGCCAGAGGCGCACACAAGGGTCCCGGCAGCTCTGGGCCTCCTGAGCCAGACGCGGGATGTGGAGGCCAAGTGCAGGGGATGGGAGGCCCGGGCCGGCTCCGGCGCCCTGGAGAGCCTGGAAGAGTGTGGAGTCGCAGGGCACTACCCGGGCACCCTTAGCATGGTGGTGGGGGCGCTGGGAGCCACACAGGCCCGTGTGGGGTCTTCACACAGACCGTGTGTGGCAGCCCGGTCGGCAGGAGCTAAGCAGGGAAGCGAGCCAAGCGTCCACCCCCAGGACAACGCAGAAGCGGGAGCTGGTTGAGCTAGAAAAAAATGTGCTTCCTGCACGGGGGGGGGGGGGGGGGCGGGGGGCGCAAGATGGGTGCTGAGGAGGAGGCTGGACAGACCGTGGCGGCAGGGCGTGCGCCTCCAGGAAGCAAGCCGGGCAACCTGCAGAGATGGCCGAGAGCCTGGCCGGGATGAGAGAGATGGGAGGCTGCGGGTGGACTGCTGGCTCAGCGCACAGGCGAGGAATGGGCTGGGGGTGCCCAGAAAGGTGAGGACAAAGTCTCCAGGCTTGGAACGGGTAGGCATGGAGGGGTCCGGAGACTGGCAGTGGCGCCATTGAGCCTGGGCGCGGTGGGGTCAGGGGCACCCTGTGAAATCTGGACCACCTGTGGGCAGGACGGAACAACTCGGGGCAGGCCACGCGACAGCCAGGAGAGGAGGAGCGTGGGCTGCGGGGGTGGCACCAAGACCCCCATTTCCCTGAAGTTGGAGGTGAGGGTTCGTTCCCGACCCAGGCAAAGGTGGCAGGCTTGGCAGCCTGGGGTTGTCACCTCATGCCAAGGCCACAGTCATCCTCTTGTTGCTCTTTACGGTTCCCCAGCCGGGCCGGTTCTGTGGTCCGCCCGCCCTAACAGGCACAGGTGGCAAGTGGCAGCAAGTCCCACCCAGAATGCAGTTAGTGGGGAGGATTGCTCCCGGGCAAAGCAGAAGCTAGTGTTAGCAATGGCGAGGGCCTCGGTGACTGAAAGGGGTCACACGCCCTGCACGCATGTGCAGCTGCCTGATGAGGGAGTGCAGCGCACGGGACACAGCCAGTGAGTCGCCTCGCCACGGTACTGATGCCATCTTGCTGGAGTTGGGCACTCAAGAGCTCAAGTAGGTAAAACGAGAAAGATTTTCAGAGCATCGGACAAATTTGGTCAATCGACAGTCAAAACAAGAGACTTCTCGTGCATCTCAAGTCCACCTTGAACCGTGACTGAACTGAATTTCCGCAAATCCTAAAGCAATTGGTATCAGACAGCTCCTCTTCTCCAGCTGCAAGAGAACAAGATCGGAAGTAACTACCGCTGCTATTAAGTCTACTCATCGTATTTGAAGGCTTGACGTTAAGAGTACACTTTGAAATACTTCACGCGCCCCAGAAGAGTGAGGATGAAAATCAACACGGTTGGAGCTGGACAGCAGGAGGGTGTCTGTTGCCAAGCACTGCTTCTGCTAAGCTGTGCACCCCTCAAGCTCAGGAAGTCAGAAAACCACAGTCGAGTGAACAGAAAAAAAGTAGAAAGGAAATCACAAAGGTAATTAAGATTCATAAAATGGACAAGAAGAGCAATAAAAGCAAAAGCGGGCTCTTTGGAACAACTGAAATAGACAGGCCTCTGCGGAGCGCGACGCAGACAGCAGCCCGCCGAGAGGAATGGAGCGAGCTGCAGCGCCTGGTAAGATGCCACCCCCGCAGCACCATGAGGCCGCCGCTGGGGCCGACATGCGAGGGGGAACGGGTTCGCCCCCCGGGAATGAAAGGAGCACGCTCCAAGAACATTCTAGAAGGTGGAAAACAGGTGGGGAGCACTAGGCAATTTAGGAGCCCGGAGCAAAGTCTTCAAACACCGTAGGGCAGCAAGAACTGTGGGCAGGACTGTCTCAGCGGGAAGCCGTGTGCTGTGTCGCCGAGAGGGCCGGCCTTCAGGTCCGCTTCGTGCCACACCAGACTTCTCCCGCTGGGTTACAGAAGGGCTGTGGAAATGGACATGAAAGCCGCACGAGAGAGCCTTGCTCCCGCGAATGGCAGCACTTAACAAGTCTACCAGTAGCAGGCATTGGATGCCAAGGAGCCGGTGGGCACTCCCCAAGGCCGGGCACTCCCGGCGCGAGCACTGCTGTCTACCCTTGCTGTCCTCGGGGTGCCCCGCAGGGGTCTCTCGCAAAATGATTCTCGTCACGCACCAGGTGGCTCACTGCAACGCTGGCAGCAGTAGGCAGAAGCCAGAAGTGACGCAAATGTCCACAAACAGGAGGATCCATGAAGTATGCTGCAGCCACGTGACGGAGAGGCATTGGCAGCCAGAGTGATCAGACGCAGCGGCACGCAGCCGCTCGGGCATGTCGGAGACAAGACGCGCAGCGGGAGCGACAAAGTCCAGAAAACGCATCTCATGGCGTCCTTTGATGGAAAGTTTGAAGCATCACATAGGGGTGAGCCCTGTTGGGGCAAATATAAAGAGATGCGAGGAATGGACAGTGCTTGGCCCCCGGTGGCGCAGCGGTCTGATGCACAGCACTCGGACGCTGCCTCAGCCCCTACAGCGCTACTTCGACTGCCGGCCAGGGAGGGCCCACAGGGTGCGGCGGACCTCGCCTGTCACCCCGCTGCCCCCACGGCAGTGGGCTTCATCCATCCACCTGTTCTGCTCCCCGCTTCATCTCCGGTGAATCCTCTCACCGCGCTGCGCCTCTGGCCTGTGCCCCAGCTCTGGATGCACAAATAAATGACTAAATCTTTCAGAAAGGACAGCGCTTACGCCTGCCATGGGGGAGGAGAAAGAGCTGCTAGAGCTGCCTCGCAGGCAGGAGAGCACTGGCTACCTGCTGACGAGGGCACTGGAGTGAGTGTGTGTGGTGTGACCATCTCACCCCACACAACTGACGGTCAGTCTTTCACACTAAGAGCTTGCATTACATGGAAAGGCCATTGTCTGTCAAAAAAGGAAGACTACGGAGTGACTTAATCTGGGTTTTCCCTACCGAATTTCAGAATAATCACATAAAGTTAAAAGACTTTACACTCATAAGTTTGAAACTTAGACAAAATGGGGGCGTTCCTGCAAAAACATTGTCTATCAAACATTGGCTCAGGGCCTCCCGAATGGGGCCAGGGTGAGGTCTCAGTGCCATCACACCACACGCCAGCCACCGTGGCCTGACTTTGAGCCCCGACCAGGGAGTGACCCCAGGGCGCAGCAGACCACTGCTGTCTCCCCGCTGCTCCCCCAGCCTCCAGTGTCAGTGAATCTGCCTGTTGTGCTCCCCACTCTGTCTCTGGGGGATCCTCTCTCACACACGCACCCCTCTGACCTGCATCCCAGCTTTTGAATGCATAAACAAATAAATCTTAAAAAAAATTGACGCAGAGAAAAGTGCATCCCAGGACCTGCATGGGATCTCCAGGGAGCCAAAACGATTCTATAAAAGCAGAACAATATGGAATGAGTCACCCTTCCTGGTTTCAAAACTTAGTACAAGTTGCCGGCGTTCGACTGTGTGATGCTGACAGAAAGACCGGCAAGCGGCATGGTGAAGCCAAGCAGACCGCCCAGAGAGAACCCCGCTGGCACGAGCAGATGCTCCCGCAAGGGCGCCGGAAACCACGTGGTGGGGAAAGGGTGTTGGAAAGAAGCAAAAGAAGACGCGGGAAACCGGGTATCTGGACCCCGAGGGTCCCGGGCCGAAAGGAGGCTTTCCCATCTGCGCCTGCGCCCGCGCCCGCTCTGCCCGCCTGTGTCGCCATGGCTGCCTGGGCCCAGTGCTCACAGGCCTGTGTAACTGCGACGCCCACGCCGAGGCGGCATAAACGCTGGGGAGGAAGCTGGGCTGTGACCTGACTCAGCATTAAAGGCCTGTGAAAACCTAGCAAAGCCTCCAAAATTATCTTATCGTCTGCGGGAACCGACAGTGAAGCTACCCAGCCTGGGAAGGTTGCAAACCATGTGCTCACAACACATACAGAAGCTAAGTCCAAACAAAGACCTAACATAAGCATAACGATAAAACTCCAGGAAGAAAATATATGAGGAACTCTCCTGACATTGGCCTTAGCGACGACTTCTTGGAAATGATGTCAAAAGCAAGCAAAGCAAGAATAGACAAACTATTTCTTTAAAGATTTATTTGTGCACACAGAACTAGGGCACAGGCCAGAGGCGCAGGGGTGGCGAGAGGCTTCCCTAGAGACAGAGCGGGGAGCAGAACAGGCAGATGGACTGAAATCCACTGCTGAGGGGAGCAGCGGGCGGTCAGGAGAGGGCTGCCGCGTCCGGGGGGTCACTCCCTGGCTGGGGATCGAACTCACGCTGGAGTGACTGTAGCTTCTCAGTGCTGTACTCTAACCCACTGCACCCCCAGCAGGGCCCTCCATCAAACCTTGAAAGTGTTGTGCAGCCACAGACACAATCAACAGGGTGATCACGAATGGGAGAAAATAGCTGCAAGAAGAAAAGTCAAAAAAAAGAAAGAAAACTTGAAAATCGTAGGTTTGATAGAGAGTAGTCGTCACACTATGTCAACAATACAACTCAACGACAGAAAGTGAGATAACCTAATTCGGAAACAGACGGAGGGCTTGAGCAGACACTGCAAAGATGGCACGCGCA